CGTGGTTTAACGTGGAATTTCTCTGTCGAGGTTTTGATGGTTCTAGTTGTTTCTGTTATTATGGGATGCCTTGCAAGTTTTAGGACAGTCTTCCCTGTTTGGACATCATTCTTGGCTTATTTGTTGTACCCATTGTCTTTGGTCCTGGTCTATGTTCTTGGTCATTTTAAGTAGTTGTCCTAGAACTTGGATCAGATTTTACAGGTTCATATTTGTAATAATGAGTAATTTATTGTTCTTTAATTTTTTGTTCATTGTAAACAATAATGTGTAAAGTTGGTTAATTTATTATGAGATTAATTTTAATCACTGTAGATTATCTCTGATAACAGTGTCTATCAAAATATTCTATTAGCTTGTTTTGAAATTAGGAACAATATTCAATTGTATATTTGTATTTTTTAAAATGAGAGACACATATATCTTTTTATGTCCTTTTAATGAGTTTTGTACGGAAATCGCCATCAAGAATAGGATATGTTGACTAATGAAATGTTGATGATAAGAATGTAACAAAAAAAAAATGAAAATAAAAGATGACGGTAAGCAAAGATTGAAACAATTAAATTAGTGCAAACAAAAACTGGCACGAAAATAATGACCTTGTCCTAGTGAGTTTTCTTTTTCTCTCAAGGTAAATATGTAGCAAGTTGTGCATATATGTGATGACATGACTATGTTGTCTGTCAATACAATATAGTACCACTATGTTAATCTTGAAAAAAAAAAAAATCGTATGTTAATCCGAACGATCTTTTAAATATATGTCATATATTCATTTGTGAAGATACTTCTTATGGGTTGAAAATCATATCAGTAGGTATTCCATCTTGCATATAAGGTATAATTTATCTATGCAAAATTTTGGAAACGATACCTTTATTTTCGTGTCTTTCAATGACTGTATTTTGTCTTGAACAATTCTACATGCATACTATTTCGAATTTGCAAATTCGAAATAACTTTGCTCTACACTTGGAAAGGCATTATCAAGTCAAAGCATGTATTTTCAATTCTATGCATGCCAATATGTACTAGAAAGGAGACCACCAAACACTTGCTAAAAATCCTTATCTAGAAATAAACATAATAGATAGGTCCATGTGAAATTTCATCCTCTCAACTAGAATCCTATTCAAAAAATCCCAAGACAAATGAAGAAAAGTGTGTTGCTTTCCAAAGTTTCTTACTTCCCGCGAGTGGTCCATATAATTTATGAATGATTTTATGTTATCCTCTTCTAAATTAAAAATTGTCAAACTTTTTACATTGACATATAAAAAGTACTTTTTCGAATGGTAAATTTACGCGAACACTTGAGAAAATTCAAACAAGTTATTCATGAAGAGAAATGTTGAAGGCACTAAGTGCTTGTTTGTCATAATTTTTACAAACTTATTAGATAATTAGACTTTATTTTTGTCCATAAATTTCGTAAAACTCACAATTCTTTACACTTTATATATACCATTCCATAAGACTTATAGCTTAATCACTGGAAAAATTATCCTAAACCCGATATTTTAAATTTCCACTTAAAAAAATCAGGTTCTTTAAATTCAAAAATTAAATTTAATTATTTTTCTCAATTGTCAGATAATAATTATTATATAAAAAATTATTTTATGATTTTTATATCTACTCTCTCTAATCTCGCTCTATTCACTCTATCTATTTACACGCAAATATGTACATTGGTCATTGCCAAATTTCAACCACCAGCTCACCATTGTCACCGAAAATCAGTGTTGGATCTACAGTTGACCACAACCACCACCTTCATACGCATATCTATCTATTTACATGCAAATCCAAACTTCGGCCACCGCACCAAAAACTAGTGTTGGATCTGCAGTTGGTCTTGGTCCAGCTTTGCAGTCGGGGATTTGGATAGTGCGTCGTTGCTTCTGCCTTTGTTTGTATGCGTCTCAGTGTATTTGAAGGGATGGGGTGGTGGAGGTGGAGATGGGTTGGAGGTGGATTTGAAGTGCCCATGATAATTTGGATGATACCGACGGTGGTGGAGTGAGGTGAAGTGTGATGTGGGAGATGAAAAGTAATTTGTGATCAGTTAATTTGATAATTGTAATCAATTAATTTGATAATTATAAGTATGACATATAAAAATGTGTGATTTGCTACTAAATATGTAATTATGACACATAATTTGAATCTTTATGACTGCAACCTTATATGATTTATTATTAGTACGTGATCGACTGATCGTGATCTTAAATTGTATGTTATTTTGACATTGATCTATTTAATTAATTAATTGATCACAAAATTTTATTAGGTAGACACAAATTTGATCACCTGATTTTTGAAAGAATTCCATAAATTTCTTAAATTTAAAAATATATTTTAAAACTATGATAATTATGTACTTTTCCTAACAATATATCTTTTATATATTAAAAGTGGCTATGTAACGAAATTTCTTGTTTTTAACGGAAAAACTAACGGAATTTGTTGTTTTAACGGACTATGTAACGGAATTTCTTGTTTTAAACAGACAGCTGCACCTTCTTTTAGTGTTTTTATCATAACTTTGTATTCCGATATCTGATTGAGGCGATTCAAAATGCATTGGAAAGCTAACTGATATGACTATAACTTTGATTCAGATATCATTCTCCAATTCG